CATCCAAAACTAAGCTCCATCTTAACTTGGATAGATTAAGATCAACCAGCACCACTGACCTTGGCGATCTGTATTGACTGCTGGTCATTCAATGTCTCAAGTTTAAAACTTTCATTCCAGTGTGTCACTCTGTTTATGGTCTTGATTCTGCCTACACCTGCAGCCTCTTGCAATTCTCGACCCACTCCACCAAATTTTCATTCATCTAACTCCGCACTCTCCTACATTGCCTGACTCTGTAAACTACACATTGATGATAATGTCTTCAGAATCATTGCTCCAGAATCCAGAATTCCCTCCCTAAATTGCTTTGGCTCCAAAATTTTCTTTCCTCCTTTATCACCATTGAACAAACTTTTGCTCATCTCCTCTGATAGCTCCTTCTTTGGTTCAACATACCTTTTCCCCTCTGCTGATATGATTCACCTTGAACTTCTTAAAAATAAAAGCAGGATATAAATGCAAGTTGTCATTGGGTTAGCGGTCAAAACACAATAAAAGGAATTCTACTAAGCAATCTGTTGTCAGTATTTCCTGGGGAAAACCACCTCCTGCCATTTGTGGACCTACACTTTGATGTCACAAATTGTACAAATTACTCATTTACAGTCCCACATTCTTCAACAAATTCCCTTTCTTTTCTCAACAGGATGAGACTGGATAGCTCAAGCAGCTTGCTTCCTTTGAACAGATTGATTTGGATTGAATTTTGGTAGCACCTCCAAAACCTGTGATTTCCATCACCTAAGTTGGAAAAAGGCAACTGATGCTTGGGAACACCATCACCTGCTTCCCTCTAAATTACACATCATTCTGACTTCGAAATATATCGCCATACATTCATGCTGTGTCTGGAGCTCCCTAGCTCACCATATTGTGAAAGCATTTTCACTACACAGACTGAAGTCGAGAAAGACCAACCAACTTCTCAGATTAACCAGGGTCGGGCATTAAATCGGGCCTTATCTGTGATGTCTCTATTTTGAAAATGCATTAAGTCTTATTTTGGTAGGAAATTTACCCTGTCAGAATCAATTAAGTCAGAAGTCACACGACACCAGGTTATAGTCTTACAGGTTTATTTGAAATCAACTGACGAAACAGCAGTGCTTCAAAAGCTTGTGATTCCAAATAAACCTGTTGGACTGCAACCTGGTGTCATGTGACTTCTGACTTTGTTCACCCCTGTCCAATATCGGCACCTCAAATTGAGTAATTTGGATTTAGAAATAGACTGTATACATATACTATGCAAAACAGCTGACCTTCTCAATGTACCAAAATTGAAACATGCCAGCTAACTCAGTGATACATATATACATTAAACATCACACTAATATTGGCAAAACATTTACCATCATTTCTGATTTGATAAGGTCTTATCTAAAACATTTTTAAAACACTTGCAAGGTTATCATTTGGACAATTCTTCCTAACTACAAAACTATACAAAATTGGCTGAATGTTTGGAAACAGAGAGAAACTGATCTTTTTCGGGCTGGAGGAAGGTTAGTAGTGGAGTTCCCAGGGGTCAGAATTGGAACCTTTGTTTCTCCTGCTCTATATTAAACATCACAATTTTGGTGTGCAGGGAACAATTTCAAAGTTTCAGCTGATATATAACTTGGAAGAATTATAAAATGTTAGGAAGACAGTGTGGAATTCCAAAAGGACGTTGACAAGTTGGTGGAGTGGGTAGTTAGGTGGCACATAATATTCAATGAAGAGATGAGTGGGGTAATACACTTTGGCAGGAATATTGAAAGACAATATAAATTACGGGTACAATTCTAAAGGGGGTGCAGAGACAAATGGACCTGTGTGCATATGTGCACAGATCACTGAAGGATAGGTAGAGAGAGCAGTGAATTAACCATACAGGAATATCAAACAAAGAAATGCGGATGCTGGAGATCTGAAAGAGAAACAGAAATTGCTGAGGAAACACAGCAGGTCTGGCAGCATCTATGGGAAGAAAGCAGCATTAACATTTTGCGTAGTATCCTCGGCTTTATTACTTGGAGCATACTCTACAAGAGCAAGCAGGTGATGTTGAACTTGTAGAAGACACTTGTTAGACCTCAGCTGGAGGACTGTACGCAGGTGTGGGCACCACATTACAGAAAAGATGTGAATATATTGGAGGGAGTGCAGAAGTGATTTATAAGAATTGAGAAATCTCAGTTATGAGGATAGATTGAAGACGTTCAGGCTGTTCTCCACGGAGAGAAGAAAACTGAGAGAGATTTGATCGAGGTTTGAAATATTTAATCAAGTTCTCAAAAACCCTAAAAAGACTGGATCATGTTCTTGAAAACCTGATTATTCAAAAGTCTTTTGGGAACATTGCAGCAGTTGAACCTGTTAACTGGAATTAATAGTTAGCTTTAATCCTGGGCTGGTGCAATAGATGAGAGATAAACGAATAAATATAATTGGTTGGCCTACCTCTGAACCAGGAGGCGTAGGTTCAAGGCCCACCTACTCCAGACACATGTAATAACATCTCTGAACTGGTTGATTAGGAAAATAGGTTAAATTAAAAAACATACATGTAATTGGTCAAATGTGAGACTGAGATCAAAATTAGTGAGTGAGATATCGAGGCCTAGAAATTCCATGGCTTCAAGTTTGCTTTTTGATTACCAGACGGGCACTGAATCTTGAGTGTGCCAAGCAGAAAGATGGGCCTAGCTGTGTCACAATGGTGAAGGCTATATGTAGCCTAACATATGGTGCTTAAAGGACAGTATCAATAAGGTATGACTTTATAGTGTACTTGGTTCAAGGAGGAAATTATTCATGCGCGCAACCTGATGCCAACCACCACTTCCTTCTTGCCCTGATTTGTTAAAAGACCCAATTTAGAGCTAAGAGGAGCAGGGGTGCTATGCAACCCCACAGGAATTATGTTTGATCCACACACCCACACCTCCACCCCCCCCAAACACACCCCACTTTGCCAACTGTAACACACTGCAATTCCCCTCATAGGAAATACCCAAAGATTGCTAATGGTGAGATGGACCACCCAGTATTGATGTCTTCGCTCAACATCAATTGTTTATGAAATCAGTGAACAAACCTTTAGCTATCTATGAGCTTCTTGTGTCAGACTAGGCACAAAATTTGATCCAGACTAATTTCTCGGTTACAGAGTGACAGAGCAAGAGATGCAATGAAGGCACATTTTCAAGAAAGTGAAAGTTTAAGTGTAAGTGTGAAAAATAGCTTTTTATGCTTGATTGCAATAGTACGGTCACACAAGGAACAACAGAATTCCAGAACTAAAAGTTAAATACAATAATATCGTACTCTCCTGTGTCAGGATGTAGCCAGAAAACACAAAAACGCAGTCACAACCATTTTAGTAAAATGCATATGTGAAATGTCTTATCTCTGTAGCTCTGAAAACAGCACAAAGTATTTGTTGATTTAATATTTCCAAATAGAGCTAATGCCTGAGGACATCATTTGGAAGTGGATGAGAGATCTATCATGGCTGGTGAAGTAATAGACAGAATTAAATAGTGAAAGGTATGAAATTAGAAGCTTTATTCCATAACATTTGAGTGTATAGACTTAAATGTTATTTGTTTTCCATGATACATTGTAACCCATATATTTCATACATCTGCTGACAACATTGCTTCTTCTGCTGCTGACTGACAGGACATCAACGTTGCTGTACAGCATGGTTCATTGAGGTGAAGGCTCAAGAAATTTAAAGGAGCATTTATATTACATCATACCTGCTTGAGTGATGCCAGATTCCTGAAGTGTGGGTTTTCTGCAGCCAAATGCAACTCAAATATAAAATTGCTGGGTTATACTGGGTTTGGATGCTGGAAAAACTAGTTTTACAGTATGTCTTACCAGTTGGCTGATGATTTCTGACAATTTACATAATGCTGGCAGTAGTGGGTAATCTGCAATTGAGAACCCAGAGATAAAACAAGACAGTATAAGGCTTGAGTGTTGGAATTGTCTCCGTTTTTTCATTGAGGAGACTTTGTTCCCCCTCTTGTTTGTTGTTTTAGTATTATTGCTGACACTTTCTTTCATATTATTTAATGCTGAAGATTTACATACGTTTTAATCTCTTTCTGCAGCCTTGTTTATTATTACTGTTCCTTAGGATCATGATGCAGCGTGCAGTCACAGGCTGCTGCTAGTATAGTACCATTTAGTAAATCCACAGGTGTGTACAACTAATAAAACCAAGCTCTCCTTCATTAATTGACTCCTAAAACCTTGCTACCAGGAACTGTACATACGAGAGTTGGAGAGACCAGCACCTGTCCATAAAAATACACATACATTTGATGCACAAGAACAGATACACACGTGTTACTTACAACTAAATAAACTGCACTTAGACCCATATTTGTAAAGTCTGTTCAAAATTAATTGCTCCACCCAGTCCTCCGCTGCCACATGCCATTTCCAATCAAAAAAAAGAACAAAAATTCAGAATATAAATGCAACTCTCACCGTTCTCAAACACTATTTGACAAAACTCTTGCAGGTTTTGCAATTTAAGCAGAATTACCCTTCAGTACTCAATGGGTTAACATTTTAAAAAGTCCTTGCACCCAACTTATTTGCTGTATCTTGTGTGATTCTAATTGTAATTAGAAACACACGGTATACTGCAATAATTGTTACATTCTTACAGCTGGAAAGATCACATCAACGTTTGTAAACTGTAATCAGTAACCACTTCCATTAAAATATTTAATGTGGCATTTTCAAAGCTGGTTTTAGCCTTTTTGCTGACAATTCAATTATTCCCAAATAACACTGCAAAGAAACCTTTAAAAAAAAGTCTGGTAATTTACCAGTACCGGTGTGTAAATGTTCAGAAAACTGCAGTGTCAGTGACTCCAACAGGCTGCTTCCGACAGTTTAATCAGGAATGCATATTGCTGCCTTTGTGATTCTCAAAAGTAGTATCAGTGGAAACAAGTAAAGACTGATAGAAGACCGAGACTGCTAACCTCCTGAGCTCTTTACTTTCCCACACCAGCTTAAACAACCCTGGCCGTCAATGACACCGAGGCATTCTCTTAGAATCACACATCTCGCTATTGTAAACCTTTAAGAAAAAACAAAACCAAGTTACGTCTAGTACTGAACAATCAAAGAACATACACACAATCTCCTGGTCATACAATAGGCATAAAGAAGAAACAGTTGTATGGTAATTACAATCTAAGCGTTTCAAAATTTTGCTGTCTAAAAACAAAACCGCGTACCTGCGAGATTGTATCCCTTCTTTTGCCTTTCCAAAGGGATCTTCTTTTGCTTTGCACACGCAATGCACTCTCACAGGACCACACAGTTCCTACTGTACAGCTTTTCCTCTCTGACCCCCACTCAAATGTGATGACACGCTCTAACCCCAACCATCTGTTGAAACACGTCTTCAACCACTCGGCACAAGACAGCCTACTCAATCCAATCACTGGAGCTGGGTGGCTCTTAAAAAGCAGGAGGCTGGGACAAGAACATAAAAACTTTAGTTTTTTAAGACTCTAAGCACCAGTAACTTGAGAGCGTGTGAAAGAGGAGACTGCTATAAATGAGGGGAAGGGGAGGTACTGGAGTAGAGGGAAGAGTGAGTTCCCCCCCTCCCCATTAGTTAAGATGTTATTTAACACAACTCCCTGTAATCCAAGAGACACCCTCCCCCGCCCACACCATCCCCCGACTACTTCCAAGAAAGTTTACAATAGGGAGAACAGAAGCACATTAGCCCCACTTAGAACACATTCATTGAGTATAGTTTCCCCCAACACTCCAGCGCTGTAGAGGTGGAGACAGATCTTATCTGATCTGCTGATAAAACTGTGAACATAGCACTGGTTGTGCAGGGCTGCTCCAGTGACAGCCCAGCACACTCGTTGATAAGTCTCTCTGACTCCCTGCAGCAATTCTGCCTTTGACTCGTACGTGAATCAAACCACACAGCATTGTTTCGGATTTACACACCCCCTTTTTTTGGTCTTTTAATCAAACTTAATTGGTCGACAATATAAAAAAATCACGATGAATACATTGTAAAAGCAACATTTCTGTCTGGGCTACATTTTATTGCTTTCAGCTGATGGTACATGAGTACATCCAGTGGGTGGGGGAGGGGTACTGAAAATCTGGGTGAAAGTCATTACCCCTAACATTGAATGGGAGTGCACTGTTCAGTAGTTTATGCACTGTATGCAGAATTAGGGGTGTTTGAGTGGCCAGCATGCATGGATCTTAAAATCATGTTTGGATTATCTTCTTTACTTGATACTTTGTAAGCTCAGCACACAGAAAACAGCAACAATGCTGATGTCTCCATTTTCTGTTGGCCCATTCAGTAACTCATACTCAGTTTTATTAAGATCTTTTTAGCGTCTGATTTGTTTGATCTTATGTGCTTGATATTTTCACTTCTGCGCTGTCTTAATTTCTTTTTGCACCATCTGCTGTTGAAAGGGACCCCACTTTCAATTTAATGATGATACATTCCTTTGGAATGACTTCTGTCATGGGGGAGTTTGAGGATAGGAGTTGAAGAGACAGGGTGACTCACTGGTCAGCAGTGCTGCCTTGCAGCGGCAGGGACTCAGGTTTGATTCTAGCCTGCGTGACTGTGTGGAGTTTGCATGTTCTCCATGGGTCTGTGTGGGTTTCCTCCCACAGTCCAAACATATGCAGGTCAGGTAGGTTGGCCATGCTAAATTGTCTGTAAAGGAAAGTGTAGGCTAGCTGGATTAGCCATGAGAAATGTAGGTTTGGGTGGGGCACTCTTCAGAGGGCTGGTGCAGGCTTGATGGGCTGAATGGCCTCTTTCTGCACTGTAGTGATTTTATGATGATATCAGGATGATTTGCTGGACCTGAATGCATGTGTAGCACTGAGGCCCATTGCCCTTCTTAACACAGAAGGAGGAAGTGCTGCCACTGAGCCAAAACTGACACCTAGAAAGTGTTTTTTTTAAAGTACACACCAGTTTCATTCTTCAACTCAAATCTATGATTGGCAGCAACTGAAATGTTAAGGAGTGAAGGTGTGAATACATAAAGCATACATTACAGGAGTCAACACTACACAAAAGTTAACTATTTCTGAATGTATTGTGCAGGGAATACTTTTTCTGAAGCACCTTTCAGTTCTCTATTTTAAGAAAATCCAAAAGCAAATTAAAACAGAATTATCATGGTTTTGAGAGAGGTTTTGTGTTTAGTACATTTCAACACAGTCTGCTCTGAAAACACTCGAAGTTCCATACTGCCATTTGAAAAGATTACACTCTAGCAACTAATATATGTTCACTGCAGGAACCCTACACTGTCATGTTTATGCAAAAGTAAATCTTGAGTATTACTTTCAATTAAAACTCAGGGTATAATAGGTTCAAATTAATAAAGGCATAGTTTGATGTTTGGAGACAAGAACATCAACAATAAAGACTGGCATAGGCCATTTGGCCCTTTCAGCCCACTCCAATATTCAATAAAATTGCAGTGGATCTTATACCTCAACCTTCCAACAATATCCTCATGGGTCAGTTTTTAAAAATTCATTTACAGGGTGAGAGCATCAGTGGCTAGGCCAGTGTTTATTGCCTATCCCTAACTGCCCAGAGGGAGGGCAGTTAAGAGTCAACTACATCAGTGTGGGTCTGGAGCCATATATAGATCAGACCAGGGAAGGATGATAGGTTTCCTTCCCTAAACAACACTAGTGAAGCAGGTAGGTGTTTCCCCAACAATCAACTCACAATCATCAATAGACAATTCATTTCAGATTTTTATTTAACTCAAATTCCACCATCAGCCCTAGCAGGATTTGAACCCAGGTCTCTAGAATATTATCTGGTCTCTGCATTAATATTCCAGTGATGGTACCACTAGGCCACTGCCTCTCCTAAGCTCAGCTGGCTGGCTTGTACAGACTGATTCCAACAGTGTGGGTTCAATTCCTGCACCGGCTGTAGTTAAAACAAAGGACTCTCCCTCTCAACCTCTCTCCTGGTGGTCACACTCAGGTTTCTATTACCACCAGTCATCTCTGTCTGATTAGAGAGTACAACTATAGTGACTTTACTTTTTCCTATTTCCTTTCGTACTCGAAATTTGATCAACCCTGGTCTTTCCCACAAACTGTGATCGACACTCAGATTAAACCTCAGCCTACAGTGGTGGAGACAATATCCCCAGAATGATTTAAGCACTGATTAGATACTGCAGGAGTACTCTGAGGCCTGTATGCTGAATGAGCTAAGATGGATAAATGACTTCACTGACCCAAGTCTATCTTGTGCTTGTTATATTCTAAACATTTTTTCCTCACACAGTATCCTAATTTTCTTCCCCGAAGTTGATGGCTCTGAAAGCAGCTCCTTGAAGCACCTTTTGCATGATGGTTCAGTGGTTGGCACTGCTGCCAGGGATAGCACCAGGGATCCATGTTCAATCCCAGCCTTGGGCAATTGTCTATGTGGAGTTTGTACATTCTCGCTGTGTCTGCGTGGGTTTCCTCCAAGTGCTCTGTTTTTCTCCCACAGTCCAAAGATGTGAAGGTTAGGTGGATTAGTCATGCTAAATCGCCCATACTGTCCAGGGATGTGCAGGCCAGGTGGGTTACCTATGTGCAATATAGAGATAGGGTACTGGGGTGGGTCTGGGTGGGATGCTCTTTGGAGGGTTGGTGTGGATTTGATGGGCCAAATGGTCTGATTCTACACATGGGATTCTATAGTTCGATTTGAGGATGTGGTATCCTATTGGACATGGGAAGGCATTACATTTGAATTATATTCCATCCTTTACAGGCATTCAGCAGAAACTGGACATTGGAGAAATGACAATATTCTTAAAAGTTTCCAAGCAGTGATTAAAATACTAAATGAGGGCTGTTTTGGCACCAGAAGAGATGTTTCATTAATGGGATAATTAACCCAGCATTATTTTCATTCACTGAACCTCCAGATCAAAATAAAGATTTTTTTACATGGCAAGTGTAGAAGTGTAGAACTTTTTGCAGAAGTGTCACTCTCCCAATGTTAGATGCAATGTTTAACTGGAGTACCAAGATTCATGTGAAGCACAAAGTGACTCTCGTGTCTGCCATCTGGTTACAACTGCCAGTGAAATAAAACAGGAGCCACCCATGCATGTTTGTGCTGTGAGTTTCTGTGTAGCACAGGGGAGCCAGAATGCCAATGGAGAGCAGCCACTAGCAGACACAACTCACTCTGCTCACAAAGAAAAATAAACACGGCATTGTGCCCACCAATTAAAATGTGCAAGTTTAACACTTGCACCAGTTAGAAAAATAAAAACTATTATCTACTTGCGTCAAACAGTTTCAAAGTTGTCAGTTTTAGTGTTTTAAGTGCTCTGTTTATTCCAAGCAGTAACAGCTATGCTTACTCACTAGTTCGCTTAACCAGCCAATAAACAGCCCATTAGAAGGGCACTAACCATTGTTGCCACATTAGATCGAACTACAACACAAGTGTTAGTTATTCAATGATTGATGGAATGAATGAAACAACCAGTGTTACAGCAGTGGAGCTACATATACACAGGCATTGCTTGAAATTATTATTAATGCAAATGACTCACAAGTATAAGATTCCATCTGTGAGAACAAAGATGAACGTAGTCCAAAAATAATATCAGTAGCCAAATGATAGCATGAGCAAATGAATTAAAGGTCCTAGTATTTACTCACTCCACAGAATATATTTTTTAAAACAGGTTCTTCCTCTGAAAGCGAGTGTGATTGACAAGCCTGGCTCCTTACAAGTAGGGAATGCTGCAGAAGAGGCTGCAGCTTGGGAGAAGGTAAGACTGCTCTGTTCAAGGTAATGATTGTGTGATGGGCACAGAGTGGCTCTTAGGGTCGGTATGACTGCAGGAAGTCAGAGACCGATTGTGGGAGGAATTGGGATGCCAATAGCCAATGTGTGAGGGTTCAAGTCGCAGAGGATGCATAGACTTATGGACTGAGAGTGTGCAGTTATTATGGACATGGTGGGAGATTGTGGTGCTAATTGGAAATTTTCTGGGAGAATCAGAAAATCGGATTGTGGAAATGGAAGAAAGTTAGCTTGGTTAGCTGTGAGAGCTGTTGCTCTCCTGGACCCACAAGCAAGGCTGAAAGGCACTTAACTTGGCAATACAGCAATCCTCACCTTCATCTAGCTTCAGGGTGCCCAAGGTCCAGGAAGACCAACCAGCCAGAGTTACATTTAAAGTGGAGGTAGATTAAAATACATAATTAAATTGAAATTTAATTTTGGCACACCTCACTGGTGTAGCATGCTGGAAATCGGGCCCTGCTCTTCCTGGAATCATCAGAAAAATTGAAGATTTTT